TAAACCTGTAAGTAGACATTTTGTTTTAAAATCGCTCTTTTTCAATAACAATTTATTCCAGTCTTGGTCTGAATGTACTCAGAGTATAGATTTTCTGCTCTGAAAAGTTGGCTCAAATAGCTTTTTTAGAATTTAATAATGTTAATAATTATTGATTTGATTATTTATTGTAATTTTTATTTTTAGTTGTTAACGTCACATTATTTAGAAGAACTGACTGAAGAGTTACGTGCCCTTGGTTATAATCATCTCTCTCTACCAGTCTTAGCGTTTCAAGATCTAATGGCTCGTGGTATTTTTAACAATAAAGCCATGTCAAACCTCTATCATATCAAGTAAGTCAGGGTTCAATTTATTTCTAAACATTTAAATCTAGCCATCTTGATTAGCTCTAGCCATCTTGATTAGCTCTAGCCATCTTGATTAGCTCTAGCCATCTTGATTAGCTCTATCTAGCCATCTTGATTAGCTCTAGCCATCTTGATTAGCTCTAGCCATCTTGATTAGCTCTAGCCATCTTGATTAGCTCTAGCCATTTTGATTAGCTCTAGCCATCTTGATTAGCTCTATCTAGCCATCTTGATTAGCTCTATCTATCCATCTTGATTAGCTCTATCTAGCCATCTTGATTAGCTCTAGCCATCTTGATTAGCTCTATCTAGCCATCTTGATTAGCTCTATCTAGCCATCTTGATTAGCTCTATCTAGCCATCTTGATTAGCTCTATCTATCCATCTTGATTAGCTCTAGCCATCTTGATTAGCTCTATCTGGCCATCTTGATTAGCTCTATCTAGCCATCTTGATTAGCTCTATCTAGCCATCTTGATTAGCTCTATCTAGCCATCTTGATTAGCTCTATCTAGCCATCTTGATTAGCTCTAGCCATCTTGATTAGCTCTAGCCATCTTGATTAGCTCTATCTAGCCATCTTGATTAGCTCTATCTAGCCATCTTGATTAGCTCTATCTAGCCATCTTGATTAGCTCTATCTGGCCATCTTGATTAGCTCTATCTAGCCATCTTGATTAGCTCTATCTAGCCATCTTGATTAGCTCTATCTATCCATCTTGATTAGCTCTATCTATCCATCTTGATTAGCTCTAGCCATTTTGATTAGCTCTGGCCATCTTGATTAGCTCTATCTAGCCATCTTGATTAGCTCTATCTAGCCATCTTGATTAGCTCTATCTAGCCATTTTGATTAGCTCTGTCTAGCCATCTTGATTAGCTCTATCTAGCCATTTTGATTAGCTCTATCTAGCCATCAGCTCTATCTAGCCATCTTGATTAGCTCTATCTAGCCATCTTGATTAGCTCTATCTAGCCATCTTGATTATCTCTATCTAGCCATTTTGATTAGCTCTATCTAGCCATCTTGATTAGCTCTAGCCATCTTTATTGTCATCTATCAAAGGTTTCTTTACCAAACAAAGCACATAGGGCCTTGGTTAATTGTCCCAACTGAACAGCAAGACACTTTTTCTATGCCAGCCACTCTGACCCACATCAATCACAGGGAGATCAATTAAATCCAAAAGGATGATCACAACTTCTGTCAGGATCAAACCTAGATCCTTAGTTTAGCAAGTAAACTTAAAACTCAATGATTCACCTCAGCAACCTTTAAAAGAGGTTAAAGACTATTATATTCTGTTACTGCCTGATAATTTCAGGTCTCTGGAGGTGTGTTATGAACTAGATATTAAAACAGGGTGTCTATTCCATGAGAAGGCAGTAGGTAATATGGAGATCAGTGAAGAGGAACAGGCGAGGTAACTTGTCTCTATGTTAACACAAACTTTGTCTTTATTTAAAATTTTCATTAGGTTAGTCTGGTTTATCAACTTTCAGCTCAAAAGTTGTCATTAACTCTTCATCTACCAACCAACTTTTCATTATGTTTCTCAACACAGAGAGCAAGAAAGACTTCTGGAGTAATCTCATGAGTTTAGCAAAGACTTAGATATCATTGTGACATGCTTTATAAAAGATGGAAGGTAAGGCCTAAAAATACTAGATTAAGAATGAATAAAACAGACCTGTAACTATCAAATTACAATCTATAGGTCTGGAAACTGACATTTTGTGCTTTGTTTTTCTTACTTTTTTATTTTATAACTTTCAGGTCACGAGATGAGATAGCTATATGGAAAGAAAAACAAGTCCAAGTGGCGAGAGAAGAATTACGTGTCAAAGAATCACTAGTTCGTCTGGCTACGGAGGGAAAGATAGAGAAACGATCTTTAACATCTAAAACCATGAACTCTCCTAATAAGGTTTGTATCACAGACTGTTACTTTGGGCTTGTTGTCTGAAACATTGTTACTTTAAGATCAAAAATATGTATCAAATCCAAAACTTTAAAGGGTTGATTTTGCAAGGTTAACTTAGAAATGATTTAGAAATGCCACAAGAATAGATGTAACCCTTGGAAAGCATAAATTTGGTGAGATCCTATGTCTAAAGTGTTTATAGATTCTTAGCTCTGGTGAAATTTTCCTTCAATAACTTCAAAGGTTGAAGAACAGTAGGACATTAGGTTTATTAGTTATGATAATATTCTCTATTTTCCCCCTACAGGAAGAGAAACTGGAAACAGTTCAACATCTTGGTAAAGTTCTCGGAGCCGTATCTATGAGAGAAATATGGACATTAACAGCAGAAGTTCTCATCAGACAAGGTTATAATCAACATGCTAGAGAATATCTTCATGAAGCTAATTTAGCAGCACAGGTAACCCTTATTTTTCTATATAAACAATGATAAATAAAGGCTGTAATCTGTCAGCTGTTTTCTTCCAGATTGTAGGAGAGCTTTAATCATTTCAAATACATTGGCCAATCAGATCACAGAAATAAATAAGATTGAAATGACCAATCAGATGAACTGATTCAAAATCAAATGAAGTGCTTGACCAATCAAATCACAGGTAATCTGATTAGGTGATCAATCAAATGAATCGTATTGAATTAGTGGTCAGTTCGATCACTGAAACTAAAAAGGGATTGACCAATCAAATTTAATGATTAACCAATCAGATCAAAGTTTAGTTGTTTAATGGTAATTTAGATTAATTTGAATAATTATCGTGAGGTTTGTGTTTATTTCAGGCGTTTGGTGATAAAAAATTAGAATCAGGTATATTATATATATTAGGACAGCTAGCGTTTAACGAGGCCCAGTATGGTCAATGTTTTAATCTGTGTCGGTCAGCCCAGAATCTACAATGTGGAGACGAGATGTTCTGGTTTAAATCCACTATGTTGATAATCGAAGCTACTCTGAAAGATTACGAAAATAAAAACAACAAACGAGTGGTGAGACTTCATTGATTGTTTTTTATTTTCACTGAGAGGTATTAGGGGATGAGAATCGACACGGGGAGGGTGCTCAAAAGCACTGACACAGGCATCAGAATTTTTCTTACCATGAGGAGGCTTCGAACCCATGAAACCTAATCGTCTAGTAGACAACAATCTAACTCGCTACTGACTGAGCTATTCTTCTGTCCTAGCAGATGACAATCCAACTCGCTACCGTCTGAGCTATTCCAT